AAACTGCTCCGAACCCCTAGTGTTTTTAACACATTTGACTTCCAAATGTGCTTCGCGCCACAACGCCGTGCACTTTTTCAACATCTCAACGTCCAAAAGTGGTCCGAACCCCTAGTGTTTTTAACACATTTGACTTCCAAATGTGCTTCGCGCCACAACGCCGTGCACTTTTTCAACATCTCAACGTCCAAAAGTGGTCCGATCCTGAGGTGTTTTGTACCTTTTCACTTCGAAATCGGCTTCGCGCCACAACGGCGTGCAACTTTTCATCTCTCATCTCCCCAGATGTCTCCGCCCCCGCCGCTTAGCGAGCCTACTTTTCAACCCTCCGGAGCCACAAGACCACGAAAAAACACAGTGTTTCGCGACTTTCCCACCTTTTCGCGCACCTGCATCTTCTTTCTTCTCATCTTTTCTCTTCTGACTCTTCTCCCTGCTGACTGCTTTTTCATCTCTCCATATTGTCGGAAGTTTGACTTCCAAACTTCCTTCGATTATGATCTATATAACCTCACCAATTGCAACCATCAAGTGGACAACAAGGAGCCATAAACAGCCTACCTCTGCCATTTTTCATAAGTTTGTATAAACAGCTAGGCTAACCATCAGAAACTCACGAAAACTTATCGACCTTTATTGGGGCACTGAAACCTCCGCACGCCTCCGGCTTCTCCCTTGCCACCTGGCCAGGGGTTTGAAGATGCTGCCAAGTTCTTAGGTAGATAAGTCATGCATAATCACATGGATTCACATGGTTTTTGTGATCATGAAGTAATCCAACATGAAAACGGAAAATGCCATGAAATGCCAACTGTTCAAGTTGATGGGTTGTTGATGCAGCTTCAGTGTCATTTTGGAGAAAGTGTAAACCAACGGAGTTTGGTTTCTCTCCTGGAACCCCAATTTTCACCAGTTACAGTGTGTAGGATTCACCGCGAAACAACCATGGCTTGGCTCGTCTCACCTTTGGAATGAAGATGGTGTCATCTGGTCCAATCCTCAAACCGGCATCCAAGGGATCCAACAAAGCGAGGGTGGGGATGGCCTACGATCAGTGGATAGCTATGGCTACTATGACTACATTATGACTACTATGACCATGCTTTCATGAATATTTCCAGTCTTCAAGAGCGATAAAAATTGCCAGCAGGTCATTCGAAACATGGCTCCAGGGCTAGTAAAAAATTACATAACTATGGAAAACACCATTTTTCATTTTTCACTATAAATGACCATTTTCAATAGCCATGTTTGTTTACCGGAGGGTAAGAGTTGATGTTCTTGTCGGTTTCAAGTCATCCCAAAAATCTTAGGTCAACTTGTCCAACTGGGCCGCCCAAAATGTAGAGGTGACATCCATGCCAAGGCACACCGATGCCTCAGTCGACACAGCTGAGTTTCACACATGAGCTGATTGTGGTCATTACGGAAAGGTTACGGATAGATTCTTCACCCAAGGGCCGAAAGGGCCTCAAATCTTTGCAACAAAATCCCGCAAGGTGGAAGAACCTACCTCGGGATATTCAACAAATATTTTAGAATCACTCACATCCATCTCGGTGTTGCCGACATCCATTTCGTGACTACTGCCATACCCTGTCTTGGACAGAATATATTGGAGAGGGTCATCCCACTTTGTTGGGTTCGGACTCCTGATCATGGCGAACAAAAGGCTATTGAGCTGAAACGTCTGAAAATCATAAATGATAAGTTGGACCAACTTTTCACCATGCACATGTCATCACTTACAATTTCAATCAAACTCTGAACATGTCTCAAACAACAGAAGGATTTGTCACCAACCGAACCAGAAACCAGCGACCTGTTTTCCCATCACAACTCTACATTGTTTTTCCGCCTCCAATCCAACTCTGATCTTAATCGATTACTTTGCCGCAAAAAAAGGAAACGATTACGATGCTTGTTAGCCCCCTAAATATCAGGACATCTAGGGGTTTCAACCGTCAATGTTCCCAGCCAGGGATGATCAACCCAATTTCAGCTGAAGACGCTGGATTTTTGAAGGCAAAGACCGGGAAGCGAGGTAAATCCTTCCCGGTCTCCGCAGCATGGCTACGATAGTTCAGGCCTTGAGGCTTGGTTCAACTTATCCCAAATGGGGTTTTAACATGTTCGCTGCAACCCTGACGTTGCGCCGCGCCTGACTTCATTCAAGTGGATATGAAGATAAAGTTGATGTTATTACCCCAATCAACATGTTGTTCATAGATGTTCATAGGGGGTGGCGAATTTTGATGACTTATGAAGATAAAGTTGATGTTATTACCCCAATCAACATGTTGTTCATAGATGTGCATAGGGGGTGGCGAATTTTGATGACTTATGAAGATAAAGTTGATGTTATTACCCCAATCAACATGTTGTTCATAGATGTTCACAGTGGGTGGCGAATTTTGATGACTTATGAAGATAAAGTTGATGTTATTACCCCAATCAACATGTTGTTCAGAGCGGGTGGCAAATTTTGATCCCTTATGAAGATAAAGTTGATGTTTTTCCCCCAATCAACATATTGTTCATAGGGGATAGGGGGTTGCAATTTTTGATCCCTCATGAAGATAGGGGGTGGCGAATTTTGATCCCTCATGGAGATATAGTTGATGTTACTATATACCCCAATCAACATATTGTTCAGAGCGGGTGGCAGATTTTGATCCCTCATGAAGATAAGGTTGATGTTATTACCCCAATCAACATGTTGTTCAGAGGGGGTGGCGAATTTCGAACCCTCATGAAGATAAAGTTGATGCTATTACCCCAGTCAACATATTGTTCAGAGGGGGTGGCAAATTTCAATGAGATGATGATCATGATGATGATGATGATGACGATGATGATGATGATGATGAGGATGATGATGATGATGATGGTGATGATGGTGGTGGTGGTGGTGATGGTGATGATGACGATCATGACGATTGAAAGTGTGGAGCAACGTCCGGGTTTGGGCGAACATGTTTAAAATAAACCCGAAGAGTATTCCCAACAGACAGATCTTGGGAAACTTTTTTTGGGAACCTGTTATTGGGAACCTGTTCTTTGGGAACCTTGCTTGGAAACCTGTTCTTGGGAGCCTCTTCTTGGGAACCTGTTCTTCGTTCTTGGGAACTTTGCTTGGGAATTTGTTCTTGGAACCCAACCTGTTCCTGGGAACTTTGGTCATGCTGATTTGGGCTGTTCCGACCTGCGCCAAGCCGTTTACTATGGCTTCAGACCTGAGGCCACCAGCCAGTTAGTTTTGATCCGGTTCCGATCTGGTTCCGGTGCTGTTCCGATCCAGTTCTGATCCAGTTCCGATCCGGTTCCGATCCGGTTCTGATCTGGTTCCGATGCGGTTGTGATCTTGTTCTGAGACTATCCGGCCCGCTTACCGCACACCTCCTTTAGAATGGAAAGCCGTCCATCTAATTCGGCACCGCTTCTTCCACCACATGACATGTCATAATATTCACATCCCTGAGCCTGCCCTGTAAGAACCCTGGCCCGTCCGAAAATACCCCCTGCGGGCATACTTGGCACCAGAAAAAGTGAATATTAATTCAAAGAAATACGAAACATCCGTTGGAGCACCGGCTTTGACACCACTACCTTGACCCAGAAAAGCCAATCACTTTTGCGGCCACCATCTAGACACCAGCCCGAGCACCACATCTGTCCCCACGAAAAGTGCCTCGGGCTTTTCAGCAAAACACACCTATGGAAAATACTCCATCTAGTCCGATGATTTTCTCAGCTATAAACTTCTCAAAACAATTTGGACAATTTTCCAGCCACCATGTTTACCCAGGACAGGTCAGACCCTTTCTTGTGCCAAAAACGGTTTTCACCTTCGCCACCGTTGTGGAGGTGGCAGATATGCATTTTGGATCGCAAAACAGGGTTTTCCCCACAGAGAAAGCAGCCTCAACCCCAATTTGTTTCATGCTGCAATCTGCATGTTTGATGCTAAAACCACCATTTTTCATGGCTTGGATGATGCTAAATCACACCTCAAGGGACCACTTCAATGAGCCTTGGCTGGTTTATGCTGATTTCTGCCAGGAGACCCATGATGATGATAGCAGGCGCTGGATCCACAGGCAATGGAGCTAGGACCTGGTGGATCGCCATCCCGAAGGGTTGAAGATGATAAGGGACAGCTCCAAGTTGGGGTCAGCTGACCCAGGTAACATGACTAAACCCCAAATATTCTCCAATCTAAGGTTCATATAGGTTCATAAATCTTTGTAGTGTACGATCTGAAAACGTGTTACGTAATTATGATATTACTGCATCAACCTAGAAAGCCAAGGTCTACCCCACATTGGAAGACTCTGGGTACAGCAGGTTCCCAGGGTTCCCACAACAATGTGCAAGCGCTAGAGCCTCGTGAGGCAGGTTGGTCCAACAACGAGTACCCCATTCCATCCAATAGTTCGTCAGGGTTTATCATCATTTTCCCCACCAAATGGCCGCAAAATGGGGGCCGATCCCCCCAATGTTGGACGACTGCAGTTGATAAATTTTCATAGAACCCATGGCTTTGTTTGAAAATGGGGGGCCCAAAAATTGGTGGTTAATCATCATTTTCCAACCCATGGAGGTGCAGTTCTGGGGATGCTTCAATTTCATAAAAACCCAAATATATCTGAATATCAGATTGTTGCTGAATGTTGCTGATATATCTCATTACGTCCCTTCATATCTCCCATGATTGTTGGTTATTCCCCCATCTTTGTTGGTTAAAGCCATAACTCAACCACTTGCCTGGCTTAAAAACCAGGCCACCTGTTGAATGACCTCCACTTGGTCAGTGAGGACTGGCTCCCCGGGAACTCCTCCAAAATGACAGGACATGATATTCTAAATGGGGGGCGTACCCAGCCAAAAATAGGGATTTTAGCAATGTTGATTTGCCCATTGGCAATACAACCTGGCAATGGAAAATTCAACATTTGCAAATGATTCTTCTCATATTTTCGGAGCAAAATGGGACGTTCATCGGCTTTGAATGACTGCTGTTTCGCCGACCCAGTCCTTCAAGTATCTGGGCTTGATAAGAAACCTCAGGGATAAAAAGTTGCCCATCAAATGGAGTGCCACATGGGCTGCCCAGCGGGGCTTTTACGAGCAAAAAGTGGAGGCCTGGCTGCCATTCGAAGAACTTTGTGGCTTTGACATGCTTTGACCTTTAAAACTAAAACATATTGAAACATGACGTTGTGTTTACTTCAAAATCCGCCAGCCTGCCGGCGTGTCTTGTGGATCTTGCTTGTTCGTAGTTGTACTGTTTGTTTTGTCTTTGGTCTTTGTCTAGACTTTCCCCTTGGCGCGGATTTTTGCCTCGTCTAACTTGAACCCACCCCCCTCCCCCGCTTCATCATCCGCGTCGTGCTTTTCAGCTTTCGTTTCAACCTTTGTTTGCAGACATAATTCGGTTTCAACTCCAACCCCGGTTCACGCAAAACCCATGTTTTGTGTCTCCTCTTCGTGTTTTTCCTCTGCGTCTTTCGTTGCAATGTGCTGGGTTCGACTCTGCCCGCGCCTCGCGCAACATGCGCATGTTCTTTTTTGTTCCCATTTCCATCGTGGTGCTCGCGATCGGTCTGCTCTGTCATTCATACACTTTCTACGTTCCTATACCTCATACAGATGGCCTGTGAATCCACTTTCTTTTGTGCAGAACACCATTTACACGGGCAACCTTTCTATGTATGGCCTTTTCCAAAAACCTTGGTTCACACACTGCTTCGGTTTAAATTCAAACCCTGGTTTACGCAAACACCATGCTGTGCGTAAAAGCGCATCTTCCTACTAAACAAAACGCTGATTCACAGAAAAAGACGTGTTGTAAGTGTTTCACAGAAACAGCATGTTTTACACAAACATCTAGAAAAATCATGTTCTTGCTTCGCCCTTCCCTGCGTCCTCAGCTTCACGCTCTTGGTTGGCTGGCTGGCTTGCTATTGTCTAAGCTTTCTTCTGCCGCCGTTGCTTCGCCATGAATGTGCTGCAAGGGCTTTCTGGGGGTGACGCCCTGTCTACACAACAGCCTTGGTTTAGCCAAAAGCTTTGCTGCACTCAAAACCACTCCTTTACAGACCAACCCTGTCTTACACAAGTGCCCTGCCCCGCGTCCTCAGCTTCATGCTCTTGCTGAGTCGGCTGTTTTGCTACTCTCTCTTGACTGCACTGAAGAGCAGGGTTGGTTTACACCCGTGCCCTTCCCTGCGTCCTCAGCTCTATGCTCTTGCTTGGCTCGCTGGTTAAACCCAAATAGCTCTGGCCGTGGTGGCCGGCGGAACACGCCAACGGCGGTAAAATATGCGATGTCAACTTGTTGCAACATATCTTTCGCCACGGTTGTGGTACAGGAAGCCTCCCTGAAGGTTGGATCAGTGGCAAAGTTTGGTCGTGACCGCATGTTCTGTAGACATATTTTGTGTGTATTCTAATGTTGTAAACCCAACAATAAACCTGCCATCAGGGAGGGTTCTTACAACCCACCACTACATAACCCATCATACCTAGCCGCTAGATCCTTCATTTAGTCGCTGAACTTCAGATACCCTCCTCCATGTGTTATGGTGGAAAGATGGTGCCTGCGGCATGGTCATCAATCCCGCAATAGGAGTCCTTACAGTGGATGTATAAATATAAATCATATAAATCCCAATTAATGAACTGGTGACCATCCCGGAATATGGATTTACAGAATCCAACTTTCGACGCGGGGGCTCGTGAGTCTAAGACTGCACCATCTCAAACCCCAAGCACTGGTGGCGGGAAAAGGAGATAATAAACACATTGAATTAAAACATGCACGCACCTAATTAGATCAAACATCCGAGTGAAGACCAGCCATCTTGCGTCTGCGTTTCATGAAAGCAGCGTTTCCATTGAATCTGGCAGCTACACTAGGTTCATCCAGTGGAGGAAATGTAACAGTAGGTTGTAAGCCAGGAAGAAAGATCGGTTCATTCAGTGCGTTGCCCTGCAAATTGGCCATGTATTTTGCAACGAAGTCCATGGTAGGCTCACTGTTGGGGAGTACCGGTCTCCGTCCAACTCCAGCCACCACTCCTTTAAAGTCCCAATCTAGTCAGGGATCTACACTTGAAATCCAACTTTCGACCATGGCACATACGCCAACTAAATTGGCCTCCCCTTTGGAAGTAACGGGCGGACCGCTAAGGCGCGGTTCCACAGTACACGGCCCCCCCAGCAAGCACCTTAGCTCATCGTCTTGCTGTCATACGCCTGCTATCCCGGGACGCGTTGGCCTCAAGGGGTCCGTGAGAACGTCGCGATCTCTCGCAGAACGCTCGGCAGCCCGCACTAGCCCCACACCCGGCCAACGGTGTGTTGAATGCGACGAGGGCCCGCATACAATAAGACGGGCCTCTACGGATAGCTCCGCATCCAATGGGTAAGGCAAATGCCTTCAGCTCCCTTTCTTGGCATGCCCTTCAAGTGACGGTGAGACATCGTGAGACAGCGACACTCTGCAGTTGGAGGCACAAAACGTCTGGGCATAGTGGCAGTGTGGAATCGTCTCCAATGCATCAACAGACAAGCTGGGACACTGCCGCGGCAGTTTGAAACTTCTGGGAACTTATGGCCAATAGCTTCACAGCACCAAGCATGACCAAACCGAATCAGCCTAAACAAATGCCAGAAATGACCAAAGAACCCGGCACCACAAAGACAACGCCTCCCTCCTGTGGTCCATCCTTCACGAGGAATCAGCATGTTCATGTCCAAACTAACAAAATCATGGAAACACATTCTTTCTTTAGATATACACTTGAAAAATGGTTATCGTATTTTCTTCGAGTGCATGAGTGCTTAGTCAAGCTTTCAATCTGGACACTAAACGAAGCAACAACTCCACAAAAATGGTCTAGCTTCATTTCAGCTTGGCTTAAATTTCCACGGGTGTGGGTCAAATCTGGGTACCCCAAAAGTTTTGGATGGTGAATGCTACACAATGACAAGAATCTGCGGTTTTCTTCTGATCAACCACATGGGTGGTTATATGCAACCGAAAACATATGTGTATATATATATGGTACCCCCCCCTGAGATCTACCTCAGAGCATTTTGATATATTGTCTCTACATGTATATATATAATATATATTTATGTGCATATATGTATAAGAGTCAGTTATTTTTTAAAGATGTCTTGTGGGTAGTAGCTGTGCACACTATCAAAACAAGTTGGAAACAAAAAAAAATATTTGACGACTCTTTTGGAGAGAATCCATGGGGAAAACTCAAAAAAAAACAAACAACCTCGAGAAAACCACCAAAAAACAATATTTGGAGACTCTTTGGGAAAGCTCTATTGACAAAATCAAAAAAACC